ATTACCAATATTGACAAGCTAGAATATAAAATAAGAGCCTCTTAATTTTTTGTATTTGCTAAGATATTGCTCATGTAATAAATCAAACTTAGTGGCACCCCACTCACCTCCTTCCATTTTTAGAAAAGCTCCCTTATAAACACTTACTTCTATATATGACATGAATAACCAATCAGAAATTCAGAATGTCTCACAAGTGGTTTTCTAAGGCTTTCTAACATACCTAGCATAATTTCTTTTAAATCAAGATTTCAATGAGGTAGGTTGTGTCTTTAGTATGCTCGAAATTTCATATTTTTTGAGTAAAATACATCTTAGTTACTAAGCTTGATAAATTATATTTGAATTCCATGGTACTGATATAGTAATTTATGATTTTTTAGTTATTCAAAGGTATATATAAAACCTAAAAAAAAATATTTTGTGTTATATCCTCCACGTGCAAAAATTTTAAAGGCTAAGCAACCTACGTCAAGCAGCAACCGAATACAAAGGTTGTAACTAGAAGAGATAATTGTTTACTTTACTTCTTTATTTACTGTTCTATGTTTTAGGAAAAATAAGTTTAATAACTTATTTCAAAATAGCAATAATCTATATACATATGTGTAATAATTGAAATGTGACTGTATTTTACAAAATACTAATCAACTAAAACACAGCCAAGACAAGTTACTTTGTACAGACCAAAGGTCGCCTTTATGTTATTTGATACGGTAACATAAGTACACGTGAGCCATGTCATTGTAACTTCTATATTGGTAGCCAGGCATGGGTGAAAGGTCAATATAAAAAAAATAATAAATATATATAAATGAATAATCTTATGAGATTTAAGCTATTTTATCTAAACATTTAGGGTTTCGTTTTATAATTTGTGTTCATTCTAGAATGAAAGATGCATAACTTATGTTTATTTCCTAATTTTTCATGGTGGTTGCGAGATCAATCAAATTTACAGAACCCATACAGAGATTAATTACTGAAAATAACTGATAAAATATAAAGTTTGTTTCTTAATAAATGTTTGATAACTATCTGGACATTATAAAGATTTCGCATGTAAAATTTCGAAATTTTCTAGTGCATAAAAGTATTTTTAATGTTAAGATGAAAATTACTTTGCATGATAGATAGTCAAGATGTGAAAAAAACAAGGCATGAGAGAAACATTGCTTTAATAATTTTAAGACTTGATAAAAAAATTAGATATTTTGAGTATGAAAGCATTGTAATGTTTACTGATAAACTGCCATATTTCATTAATATATGTTTAGTAATTTAAAAGTTATACCATGGAAACTATAACAAGCACAAAATGGTTACGAGGTTGGTCCAACGGACTGAGCCCAGGTTGAAAAAGTTAATGAGGGTTCATAACCCCTCTACCCCCATTGATGTTATTGAGCAATTATTATCTTTGACATTAGTTAACGTTAACTACATTCACAGATGGTGCCATGTCCATACACAAAAAGAATCTTTATTAAATTTTCTGTACCACAATATACACAAAGTGTGTATGGGGGAGGGGGAGCACACAAACGTTTTGTATATCTCTGATGAAAAAAATGGCCACCACTATTGCATAATATATAAACCTAGCTGAAGTTTGTACTCCAACAGCCACAATAAGGCTGATATGAAGAGCCGTTTCCTGAGTTATACCCACTTCCTACTTCGATCCGTGACCTTTAAACTTTGGCACATAACACTCTTCTGTGGCCAATGACCATCAATCAGTTAATCATGTGAAACACTGTTGAAGGACATTCAGAGCTGGGTATTAAAAGTGGGGAAGAGAAAGCACACCTGCCAACACTACCTCTTCCTTCAAAATCACACCCTGACCATCACACAGTGTATACCATGTTTTAAGTATATACATAATGAGTTCTTAAAGCTTATACAAAACTTTGGGTGGGGTAATAATAAATACTGTAATAATATGTTATAAATAAATTGTGTGAAAGTTAGGATTTTTGTGTTATTTATCATAGCATCCACACAACATTTTTTCAGTTCATAACCCAGACAAAGGACGAGTACCTCAGCTTGTAACCTATAAAAAAAATGGAAAAGAAGGGAATTACACGACTCCTAAGTAGAGAAAAAAGAATTCTCCTATCCACTTATTTTCCAATCCTGTGAACTGACAGGTTAGATTGGATGAAAAAATATGAAAATGAGAAGCAAGGTTGAAAAAAAAAGACTTGAGAGAGGTTACAAAAACCTGGATAACTCGATAAACGCAGCAACAACACCCAATAGGCTACTCTGAAACCATTAATATCAAACACCAGGCAATGAGAATACAAAGGAGCATTTAAAGACAATATACCTATATAAAAAAAAAGTCTCAGTAATAATATGAATCGAAGAATTACTGGCCTTCACCAATTAAAAGAAAAATAAGAACAATTTTAATGATATGAAAAAAAGCATTGTTCAAAGATAAAACAATTATAAATTACTGCAAAATGAAAATTAAAACACTTCAGATAAGAATGCAACTTTTCATAAGACTGATGATTAAAAGAGCCCCCAACAACTACCACAATTTCATACATGTCTTGTCACATTTCTACTTCTAGCTAACATCACTTGATAATCATGAAAGCTTTGAGTGCTTACCTTTCTTTCCTAATGATTACCCAAGAAACAGTAAGTGCAACAGCAAACAAAAATACCACCACTTGATACACTTCTAAGCTTCCTTTGAAACACAGGAAGTTAACTGGTGGAAGTCTACAATAATAAAACAACAATAAAAATCTATGCAAAAGATGTTGACAATAAATCTGACAGCATTAAAATAACAAATGTACTCAAATTACACAGCTGTTTATAAGACAATATCTTAAAATAAAGTTTATAAATCAAATGACTTTTTTATCATACAATTGTAACTAAAGGTGTCAGATTTAAAATAACATTAACAAAACCAATGAATAAATTAAATGGGTAGTTTAAATAAAATAAGGGAATAACAGTGCAAAAGGATGTAACATTTTTCTGTTTATGTTTCAATAGTGGAATTTTTCTTCTTCAAATTTCATGGTTTTGTTCAAGTTTCTTTTTTTTTTTGCTTACGTATATTTTCAGTCAGCTATATTACACATCAAAGAACAGGTGATTATTTTTAATAACCACACATACGTCAGAGAGTAATATGTTACACTGTTCTACATAACAATAAAAGTAATTTCCTAGATAATGAAGAAAAATAGGAAATTCTCAAACTACTCAGAAAGACAAAGGGAGCAAAAATAGACAAAAGTGTAAGCCCAAAACTGTCATTGTGTTACAGACATGACTCAGACAAAGCAACAGAAGTGAGTCAGACAAAACACTGAAAGCATAGTTAGATGCAAACTTTACAGTAGCCACTCTAAGACTGAACATCCAAACATTCAATTTCAGAATATCTTACAAAACACTAAGAATCTTGCTAAAGGAAGTATAAAACAGAGCCAACATACTTCAATCATATCATCAGGCCTGAAAAAGAGAAGTTGTTAGCATAGGCTTACATGGGCACTAATTCTGTATTCTTGCAAGAAATTAAAACAATGGAGAACTGAAATTTTGTTTGATTATATTGGAAAACTTGCTGGAATTCCAATATTATGACTTTTTCAGTTTCATTCATCATGGGCAGTAACATAAATACACAGGGCAAAGCTGGAAACATTAATAAAAAAACTTGTCTAAGTCTTTTATTGTTATTTTAAAGCTAGCAAGAATTTAAGTTATTAAATTAAAGAAAAATACTATTAAGTTTTCAAACATAACTTTATTCTGTGATAATTACACAAAATGAATGAACAAATAAAACTTATTTATTATAACTGAAGGAAAGACCACACAGGTAGGAAAATAGCTAACTAAAATTTACAAGCACTGATCAAGATTTGTGAGATGTCAGCTTCCTAGGTGATTCAATGCACCTTTTGCAAGAGATAATCAAGAACTTCCAATAGCAATGGGAGTTGAACATACAGAAATTAATAGGTATTTTAATTATCATAATATTCAGTAAATGACTAAAATTGTCTTTCTACAACAATGTGATATTAGATCTTTAGAGCAGTACAACAGTAATGCTCCACAGTTCATCTCTTTCAGAGAAATCTGGCTCTTCTCCTTTTATTGTGTCAAGCTATTGATAAAAGTCATTTGTCTTTTGCAAAGTAATTGAACTATAGAAGACTTTATGTGCTAACCAAGACAATATACACTGGGAAAATTTCTGTGGATACAATCAGAAGGGGTTCCTGTTGAATTTAAAAAATCAGAAAGCGTCAATCAAAAAATGTTAGCATCCAATCAAAAGAGGACAAGAAAAGTGTGAAGCAGAAGAAATAATAACAAAGATACTTTGTTCTTCTCAGTGTAACAACTTTCACTGTCTTAGATTGTTAAGGAACAAAATAGTTTCCACTGCTGAGTGTACTGTGTTCTAGATGCCATAAGAATGGTGAAAACCATTTTTTTTACAGTGCCATCAATACCAAAACATTTTGGGAATTTCAGTTGATTTTTTGAATCAGGATATCTAATCATAAACTAATTTAAAGTTTCATATGAGAAATAAATCTAACAGATTTACTTTTTCAAAGTTACTACCAAACGATGGCAATTTCTATACAATCAACTCACAATTTTAGGGTTATGTATAAACTCACGAACTTTTTGTAGAAACTATAAGGTAAAATTAAAAAATAGAATCTGAAGGAGAATTTTTTACTCACCTGCATGTTCCTATTGAAAGTCTTTTCATGCAAGGTTCCAGACAACTGTACACAGATACCATGGATGCAAGAACAAACAAACTGATGATAAAGTAAACTGTAAATAAAGATTGTATGGAAAATGTATTCTGTATATATCACACAATATCTAAAGTTATGGAAACAGAGATAGGAAGAAAAGTTCTGGTTATCATTTCATATTCTACAGACCTAAATATTAGTGCAAGCCATAGAAATAAAACAATCAGCAGAATATTCCAATTAATGATATGTTTACATTTTTGGTTGTTGTTCATAATAAGAAGCAAAGATTTAAAAAACTTTCACATATTTTTTATAACTATTTCCTCTACATATGTTATATACATTTTAAAATTACTATGCTGAAAAAAATAAGTTGAACAGGATTTTCTTATAACCAAATATATCAATAGGTTTAAAAGAAACTACACTACTAAACTGAAATGGAAAAATGTTTTAACTTGCATATATGTGTAATTTGAAATTCCTAGTGAGAAAGATCCTTGCACTAAAAATCAGTGGTTTGTTTTCTTTATCTTTTTTTCTCTTTTGCTTAGTTTAGTGTTTGTTTCTGTCTTACTACTGTTTACTAATATATATTTTTTAATTGAAATTTTTATTTATTATTCATATTTCTATAAACTTTTTGGTGTCAGTGATAACCTATTTTGAGAATCTCAAAACTCAAACTATATACTTCTATGCCAGTCATAACATTTTATATTATAAAAAAGCTTTTTATATTTGAGATAATAAAATGACAGATCAATTCATTCTGGTGTAATTTCCTCTCACACCAAATTTTGATAAAATTAATTACCAAGAACATATGAAATAATGTAATGATATTAAACGCAGAATGCAGTGAGTGAATAATGATATTAAAGGCAGTGAGTGAAAATTAAAAACTAAAACTATTTAGAACAATGACATACTAGAAAAAAAACTTATAACGTGTTTCAGACATCTTGAACAATTATCACATACATATATACAATTTAAAAGAGTACAATGCTAAAATAATTGCACAACCAAAACTTATTAAAAATTAAGAAACAGCCCTAATATGACTACATGTTTCAGTGCTCTTACACCACCGTCTTCATGAGTAAGTTCATAAGTAAGATTTATATAATACCTAATCATTCATATTCTTTTAGCACCATCTGGAATTAAACCACCTAAAATTTATAAAAACATGTGTCCAGTACTTTCTAAACTTGGACCAACTTCTTTGTTCAGCACAATATATTTTTTTCTCAATCTCTATTGTTTCTCTAATAATTAATTCAACTTTCAAATCAACCTGATGTATCCATTTAACGTTACTCCAGTCTATAACATGAGATGTGCCTGTCACATGTTCTGCTAAAGCCAACTCATTTACTTTATGTTTATCTACCACATTTTTATGTTCCTTGATCCTAAATTTCAAATTTCTGCAGGTTTGATCAATGTAAATTCAAGCACAGACACAAGGAAGTTTGTAAATCCCACATTTATCAACTTCTTCTGTTCTATCTTTTATACCCAGGAGAAAATTATTTTGTTTACAATGCAAAGAGAATGTTACACTACATTCTATACATTTTTTTTATTATGTCGCCTATTCTTGTTGATAAACCTTGAATGTTCGGCATACAAACTCTCATAAACTTTATCCTTTCCCTTTAACTTTGTACATGATGACATTTTTGATTTATCATGTTTTTGTACAATCTATCAATTAATTTGGGATTATATCCTCTATCTCTAGCTACATGTTTCAAGAAAATTAACTCTGATCTTAAATCACAATTGTGAGTGCAGATTTTTAAAGCTCTAAATACATATGTGAGAAAGGCATATAATTTTTTATCCAACGATCTATTTTGTGGTGGTACAGCCACAGAAATGGTTATCTATAAACAGACGTTAAAAGATGCCCATTATCCCATTTAACAATTATGTCTAAGAAATTTAACTGATCCTCCTTTTCCATCCCCAGTGTAAATCTAATAGTAGGACTGATTTAACTGATCAAATTGCATTAATGTCTCAACATCACTTCGCCACAAAAATAAATGTGTCACCTACATACCTTAACCACACTAAAAGTTTCACTTCAAAAGTATTTAATATATTCACTATGAATATAAATAACTTGCGTAAAAGGGGGAACAGGGGAGATCCAATAGCTGAGCCATTAGTCTGTTTAAAAAATTTATTGCCTACTTTAAAATATGAAGTTGACACACATTCATGGGTCAGCTTCACAATTTCATTAACCCTTAACAAATAAAATTACTTATTCTCTAATAATCTATTTTCAAGACAATCCAGTGCTTCTTCAACTGGAATATTTGTGAATAATGAAACAATGACCAAATAGGCTAGTTTATCTGTTGATTCCAAGTTTATCTCAGCAATTTTCTACAGAGTACTTATAAGAGTTAGCCAAGAACAAGCATTTCGAAACAAATAAATTCTGCCAAAGGACAGAATGATGAACTCCTATTATCCACAACTGGATGAAAAGAGGTACCAATTTTAAGGATTTTAGGTAGTGCAAAAAAACTAGATAAAATAAACCTTGAGGGAATGAGGGCCTTCCTTTCTCTCAGTGTCACAATAACTAAATTTTTTACTGCAGTTTTTAACCTATTATGAACTATGGTGGTGAGTTCCCTTTTTTATTTGTTCATAATAACTATCCTCTAATAATCCTTTAGTTTTGTTCTCATAAGCTGTTTTATCCAAAATTACAACATGACCTACTTTACCTGTCCTGGTACAATGTTAGCATTGTTTTTTAAAGCCTGTAACTGTTGTACCTCACCATTACTTAAATTAAGTTTAAGTTTACCTTTCTGGTTCAATAATTCATTGACTACTTCTGTTTTAACTGTATGATTCATCCTATCATTAACTTCTAGTCTCTTAAAACATGTTTCTGTTGACACAATAAAATCTTCATTCATTGAAAAATTGTTATTAACTGAAAAGTTTAAGCATATATAAATATAAAATAAATGAGACGGCTTTAGCAGAACATGTGGCAGACACACATCTCATGTTATAGACTGGATTAACATTAAATTGATAAATTAGATTGACTTGAAATTTGAATTAAATATTACAGAAACAGTAGAGATTGAAGAAAAATATTGTGCTGAACAAAGAAGTTGGTCCAGATTTAGAAGAAATAAAGTATAAACTAGGTGTTTTAAGTCTAGATGGTGCAAAACGAATGCAAATGATTATGTAGTATGCAAGTCTTGACCAAATTCAACTTCTACTCCCATAGATGGTGGTGTAAAAACCCTGAAACATGTAGAGTCATGATAGGGCTGGTTCTTGTTTTCAATAAATTATTGGTTGTGCAATCATTTAAGCATGGTACTCATTTTAAGTCTAGTGCTTTTGAATAGTTCACTACTCTTCTTCAGGATAATAAACAAGAAGAGCAGTGAACTATATGAAAGTGCCTTAGTTTTGGGTCTCCTATGAAAACCATATTAACAAGGAAGGTGTATTTGTTTCTGCTATGGCCTACTAAGTAACATTTATCAACAAGGATAATACATTTGTTCCTGCTAGGGCCTACTAAGTAACATTTATCAACAAGGATAATATATTTGTTTCTGCTAGGGCCTGCTAAGTAACATTTTATCAAAAAGAATGGTGTATTTGTTTCTGCTGAGGCCTACTAAGTAACATTTATCAACAAGGATAATACATTTGTTCCTGCTAGGGCCTACTAAGTAACATTTTATCAATAAGAATGGTGTTTTTGTTTCTGCTAGGGCCGACTAAGTAACATTTATCAACAAGGATAATGTATTTGTTTCTGCTAGGGCCTACTATGAGCAGGCCCTAGCAGAAACAAATACACAATCTTTCTTGATAAATGTTACTTAGTAGGTTCTGCCTGAAGTAAATACATTATCCTTGTTGATAAATGCTACTTAGTAGGCCCTAGGAGGAACAAATATATTATCCTTGTTGATAAATGTTACCAATAACATTTTATCAACAAAAATGGTGTATTCATTTATGCTAGGGCCTACTAAGTAACATTTAACAACAAAGATAATATATTTGTTTCTGCTAGGGCCTACTAAATAACATTTATCAACAAATATAATATATTTGTTTCTGCTAGGGCCTGCTAAGTAACATTTTATCAAC